AGACACTCAGCTTGGAGGTATCTGCAGTGGGAAGGGTAAGCCCTTCATGCTAAATGTCATTCTGCATTGGTTAACACTGTTCTGTACTTCTTTTTAAGTAAATGTCTCATTAGATATTTGCCATTCTTCAATTAGCTTTTAATTAATGTTTCATATTGACCAAAATCTCCCTGTAGTGTTGCTAAATTGTTAACAGGGATCCTCTTCCTTTGTAAGTGAGATTTATCCCTATTAAGCAATTTCCTTGCTCATGGATGTATTCTTTTCAGTTACTAAGGGAACATGAATCTTAATAACACTCAGTCAAATATTCCTTAAATAACAGCTGTATTCATTTAACTGTCTTATCAGCATTTTTTGCTCTACTGAAAATTCCTTGAAAATTAAGATCTGATTCTTCGCACAATAAGGAAAAAGCAATACATCTCAAACTTGAGGGAAATGCTTTATCATGAATAATGGACTGTTATTTAGTAGAACATTTTGTATTTTGTCCTGAATGCACCTGTTCCTCCTGGCACTACTTTTAATGTGAGTTACAGGTCAGCTGGGCACTGTCAGATAAATGATTTGTGCTGGGGCGTCTTCCATTGCAGCAGGGTCTGCCCTGAACATTCCTGTCACCAAGGGCCATGAAGGTTTTTTTCCTATCCAGATGTGTCTGTGGGCAGCATGGATCTCCCTTGCAGCCTGTAGTGGAGAGTTGTGGCTGGGGAAGGGAGCTTGGATAGAGTTTCTCTGCTTTAAGAATTTCCAGCTGCTAGGGATTGTTTCTTGCAATTACAGTTCAGTGGCACTCTTCCTGATCCCTGGTATTTGTGTAACACATGACATAGGTGGTCCTCATGCAGGTTTAGACTCCCAGGTGCTGCCTCTGTGCAGTTACAAATGAGTGTGTCAGAACAGCACCCAGTCATCCCAGCGCCAAGCTGGGATACCAAGACATAGGTAGTGCTTGGGAAGAGCCTTCTCTGCAGGGGCTGTTGCAAGCTTTGATCCTGTGCAGTACACTCTCTGGGAGGAGAAAGAGTAGCAGGAAATAAAGGAGCCTGTGATAAGAACCTGTTCACCTCATGTCAGTTCGACTCCTGAGCTCTTCTCACCAGGGACTGAAACCTGAGAACTGCAGTCAAAAATTTCTGATGGTATCAAGAAAGCCCTGGGCTATGTGTGGATGTTTTGGACTGTGTCCCTGAATGTTTGTCATGGACCAGCTGATTCTCACTTCTTCTCCCATGTGCATGTTAGCTGGGAACTTCATTGCACTATGCAAAGTTAAATGCAGAAGACTGCATGGACTTTCCTGGTTCCTGGTCTTTTAGGTTGGGATCTTTGGAGACCTTTGGAAGGTCCCTTAAAACTGATCTCCAGCTTTAACTCTTGCCCTAACTCACACCTCTCTTTTCGCTTCTTTGGCTGAACTGTTCCTAACTGAGATGGCTGAGCCGAGGTATTCCTAGGTGTCTCCTGTCCATCAAAGAAACAGCCCTGCCAGGCCTGGCCCA